CTGGGGGGGAGAGAAGCGTTTTTCCCTTGGAGTCCTCCACTCGCTTACAGGTGGGACCCAGACTCAGGGCGGGGCGGGGTGGGGGCACAGGCCACAGCTGAGAGGAGGCTGGGGAAAGCGGGGACCCAGCCCTGGAGCCATGTGCCCTGTGCCCTGGGGTCTCAGAGAGCACAGTCCGGCCCTCACCAGCGGTCAGACAGGGCCAGGGGCAGCTGGGGCTTCGGCAGCTTGAGCTGCTGCTCGCGGACAGCATAGGCCAGCACCTGCCGGTCCGAGTGCTGGGGATAGGGCTGCACACCCAACTCGAACAGCTCCCAGATGGTCACACCCAGGGACCTGCGGGACAGCCACGGTGAGCTCCGGCCAGACACACTCACAGTGTGCCAGCCCCTTTGGGACCCGAGCTCAGATCTGCACCAGCTTCCCCGCCAGCCGGGCCCAAGCCCGGCACCCCGAGAGCCTGGCCCACAGACGTAAACCTGGCCCCACACGGGTCAAGTCCACTGTCGTCCACTTGTTCACTCCACGCTGGTCATGCAGGGGCTGTGTGGTCCGGGAGCTGCCCGGGGAAGCGGGAGGGGGCTGAGCCGGGGAGGCCCAGGCTGTGAGGGCTCGGGGCTGAGGGAGAGCTGAGCCCGGAACGCGCTGTGGGCCTGGGGAGGGCTGGGAGGAGCAGGTCCGGCAAGCAGAGCTGGGGGGGAGATCCAACTTGAGCACCAGCCATGCGAGCGCTGCCCGGCGCCCTGCACCCTCGCCGATCCGGGTGGCTGGGCGAGGGGGGTCGATCTGGGAGTGGGGAAGCGACCAAGACCCACCCCAGAGCTGTGACCAGGAAGCCAGCCATGGGAGGGGGGCAGGACGGGCACACTGGAGAGGAAAGGCTAGGGAGCTGGGCAGCATCGGCACTCAGGAGCTAGCTGGTCTGTGTGCAGGCTCGGAGGGTCACCAGAGGGGAGGCCGAGGCCGGTCCCGGCTAGGAACCGCGGAGCCCCCTCAGACTCTAAAGCCAGTCTGGCCCCCCGTCCTCGTAGAGCACAGAGCCAGTGCAGCTCTGGGGGCTCAAGGTGGGGGCTTCCCGGCCGAGGAGACAACCCCCCTCACCTCAACACGACCTGGCCTCTTTCCCCCAGGGGCAGCCACACCTTTCCAGGGACAGGGAAGAATCAAGGCTGCACACACGCACATACCTGGGGTTTGGACCCGAATGTGTGCTCTGGCACAGATGTTGGCTGCTCTGTTGGGGTGATCCCTCCACCGGCCTGGGGCCCCAGAACCCCAGCTGCTGGGCTGCTGGCTCCTACCCATGTGAGCCAGGGAAGCCACAGGGTGGCTTCAGAAGTCAGCAGCTTTCCCCAGGCCGGCCACCGGAGGTGGGGGAGGGGAGGCGGTCCTGGTCACAGGACCTGACCGTGCGCAGGCCCCGGAGCCCAGGACGACGCTCACCACACGTTGCTGGCCTTCGTCTGGTCAACCACGAGCAGGTTGCCATGCACCTCGTCCACCAGCTCGGGCGCGATCCAGCGCAGCGGCACCCAGAGCTGGTCCGCGGTCACGAAGTAGTCCTCCTGTGGGCGCAGGGGCAGGCTGAGCATCATGCGCGTGCCCGCACGCACGCCTGCACGCCCGCCCGCCGCCGCGGGTGCGGCCCAGGCCCAGCTTACCCTGTACTTCCAGTGAGACAAGCCGTAGTCGCCGATCTTCACCGACATGGCAGCTGTGAGCAGGCAGCTCCGCAGGGCCAGGTCGCTGCAGGGGGAGGCAGGGGCAGCTGAGCTGGGCGCTCTGGCCCCGGGACACCTTTGCCCACCCTGGATGGCTTGTCCCTCGGGGTGTCCTGGGCTTTGGTGGTCTGAGAAGCCGCCCAGTGTACCCCAGCCCTGACCTCAGGCCAGAGTGGACATGCCTTGAAGGTGACGATGCAAATGAGGCCCAGATGGGACTAGAAGGGGCTGGAACACACAGTTCCGGCAAAGGCCCCGCCGGCCGCTCCGAACTCCTGCCTCCCCAGCTTCCCACTGGGAGTCACTGTCTCTAACCTGCTTGTCAGGAGCCCCACGCCAGTGTCCCTCGTCCTGGGTGTCTCCAGTGACTCCCCTCCGCCCTGCCCACCCCTGCCCGGAGCCCTGGGAGGTAGGAATGGGGCAGGGTGGGGGGAGGGAGGGTCCCAGGGCCCGGCCAGCCCTGCCACTCGGGGCTGGAGCTGAGGCCCCAGGAGCGGGGTGGACACCAGGTCATCCCCAGGCTACCTCCAACGCAGCAGCTGGCCCCTGCTGCCAGCTTTTGTGCCCCACCTGACTTGCGGCCCCATGGGCGTCTGGGGCCCGGGGCAGGGGGACAGCAAGGGACAGGTCTCTTTAGCTGCGCTACTGCTGCTCGCTGAGCACTCGGCCTGTCTGGGCCCGGGGCAGGGCGGCTGGCGCGCGGCGGCTCGGGAGGCTGGCAGCCACCCTCTTCAACAAAATCACTGATGCTGGAGTTGCCGGAGTCACCACTCAGCACCAGGATATTGTTGGGGAGGACGGCCGTGCGGCATCCGGGCGGCGCACTCATCCTCGCCTGTCTTCTAGCCCGGCCCCAGGAGGCTGAGGTCCCGGCCCATCCTTAGACCCCCGGGGGCAGGACAGGGCTGTCCCTCCCACTGCAGGCCAGCAGGGTTCCCCCACAGAGCCCGAGGACGAAAGTGGGGGCCAGTGGGGCCCCCTGGGTGGGGCCCATCCAGGGACAGCAGACGTTTCTTCATTTAATTCTATAAACCAGGTTTCAAACTCTTCCTTCTTCCCTGGACTCCCCAAATATAATCAAGCTAGCAACTTCCTTGCAGGATGAGTGGTTATCTGGCGCTGTATGGGGGGGGGCAGAGGCTGCTGGCGGCCGGCTCCCGCCGCGTCCTCACCTGTGCACGTAGCTGTTGCGATGCAGGTGGAGGACACCACAGGCCACCTCACACGCCATGCGCTGCAGGGTCAGCGGGTCGGGCGCCATGACCTCTGTCGCCCGGCAGCTCCGCAGGTAGCCCTTGAGGTCCCCCTGCCGAGAGGAAGTACAGGCGGTCACCCAGCTGCCCCGGGCCGCCGTGGAGGTCCACGCTGACCGCCCCGGCCCCTGGTGCCGTGGGGCCGGCCTCTCCCGGCAGGGCGGGGCCTCCTAGGGCTCTACTTTAAGAAGGACCAGATCCCTAGGGCCTGCCTGCAGGGAAGGCTAGCGCAGAAGGGCGCCGCTCTTCCCTGCCACGTGCGGCCGCCACTCACCAGCGGGCAGAACTCCAACACCAAGAGGTAGGGCGTCACCTCCACGCACTGTGCCAGGCACTGGAGCAGGTTGCTGTGCTGCAGAGCCCTGCAAGAGCCACACACTGGCCACACAGGGCAGGACACAGACCCATCCCTCCCCCGATGGCCCCCCTCCGCCCCCCCCCGCAGAGCCACCAGACGCAGGACACAGACCCCCCCGCGACGCCTCCCCCCGCGGCACCCCCCGACACCACCCACCTGTAGGGCTGGGCCTCCTCCAGAAACTGCATCTGCTCCTGCACGCTGGCGCTGGCCTTCAGCTCCTTCACCACCACCTGCGTGCCGCTCACGCCCGAGTGCACCTCCCCCAGGAACACCTGCGGGGACGGGTGTCACCTCCACCCCAGCCCCTCCGGGGCTTCCTCCACAGAAGGCTCTGGAGCCCTCAGGGAAGCTCCGCCCTGTGCCAAGCTCCAAGCCCTCCCTGCCCTGGCTTTCTCTGGTTGTCCCCAGTGAGGACAGGGGACCCAGAGGCCCCGTCCAGGCTGGAGAGCCAGGCCTGTGGCGTTTCCCCCGCTGCTCACCTTCCCACCCGCCCGCTGGGGCGCTCACCTTCCCGAACCAGCCGTGGCCAATCTCCTTCAGGTACAGGAGGCTGTGCCGACCCAGGTCTGCGGACTTGAGGAGCTGGACTGTAAGAGGGCGGCCGGCTCAGCATCCTTCTTGGCCTCTTCCACCCCTGTCTCCCTCCCTGGGGAGCTACCCCAGGTCTCCCAGCATTAGCCGAGGGAGATGGGGGGCAGAGCTCAGAGGCTGAACTGGTGACTGGGAGCTGCGGTGAGGGACCAGCATCCCTCCGGGACAACCACAGCTCCACCGGCTCCATCCGGGCATCTCTGCCCTGGGGAGGGAGTGCCCAACGCCGGGGGGGGGGACAAGCCAGGCTGGAGGCGACCGAGCACAGAGCTGGCCCCACTGCAGGGCGGCGCCGGGCAGACTGGCCGGGGCGGAGGCCGGGGCGGGGCCTAGGCAGGTCAGCAGCCACCCTGCCCTCGCTCAGGCTGGCAGGCCCACACCAGGCACACCAAAGGGCCCTTTGTTGGGGGCTGCTTGGCACAGCCCCGTACGGGCCACACTGGGCCCATTCTCCTGCTCGCCAGGCCGGTGAGGTCAGCGGGAAGGAAGGGTCAGTGTGGGCCGGGAAGGGGCCGTGGCTGCCGCACCCCCGCGTGCCCCGTCAGATTCCCTGAATTCCGCTCCCACGCCAGCTGCTCCTTTGCGGAGGTGAACCGGGGCCCGGCCTGGCTCCAGAGAGACCCCAGGGTCGGCAAGTGGCCCCTGGGGACTTGGGCGTGACAGAGTCCAGGGTGGCGGTGGCCTTGGCGCTGCAGCCCCAGCTCCTCCCTGGAGTCTGTCTGGAGCCCCTCCCCGCCGTAACCTGTCCTGGGTGACTGCAGGCCTTGGCTGCGGGCACGTGGCAGCCACCGAGGCCAGACCAAGCCGCCGTCCGCCTCCTAAGTGTGGACCCCAGATTCGCCCCAAGTCTCTCCTCCCTGAAAGCAGGGCGCTCCCAAGAAAGCCGAGACAATGGGGCGATGCACCCTCTGCTGTCCCAGGACGAGCTGGTATCTCAAGTACAACCTCGCCCTGCCTGGGAAACGGGGGACGGCACCCCAGGACGGACTCCAGTGCACCAGGAAAGGCCACACGCCATGTGGTAGAGCCCGCCTACCCCCCGCCCACCCTCCACTCCCTGCTGGGGTAGCGGTGGGCCAGCGGTGGGACGCGACCTGCGCCCTGCCCCGTCCTGGGGGCCGGGCTGGCGGCAGGGCCCCCCCAGCCTCCACAGGCCTCCAGCACACGAGGAGGGAGAGGCTGTGTTAGGAAGCCGTGGGGTCAGGCGGGGGCGGCCCTGGGGCCGGCAGGGCTCCCGGGGGGGGGGGGGGCCAGTGGCCGGAATGTCTAGGTGGCACCTGGGAGCAGGTCATCTCAGAGGTGGCCTGAGTTTGGGGACCCCCTGACATGAGCCTCAGCCTCAGCCTCCAGAGTCTCAGCCATCTGCACGTCAACTCTGGAGGCTGAGAACCACCACTTCCTCATGCAGAGAGTGGGCCTCAGCCCGGGAGCTGCGGGGAGAGGCCAGGGCGCCCTGGGGGGATCCGGCCCGCTCTGGAGGCCCAGGCCGGAGTCAACACAGCCGCCCTGGCTGCGTGGGCCAGCCGCGCCCGGCAGGCACAATGGCACCCACGTCCCCGGGCAGGCGGGGCGGGGGGGTGCACGGGAGCGGGAATCTGGGGTGAGCGTCCCAGAGAAAGCAGGCGATACCAGGGCCCGAGAGCCCCGCCCCGCCCCATGGCTGCCCTCTGTACCCTAACCCGGGGGGGGGGGGACAGGCAGAAGCTGTCCTCAAACCTGATCAGGTCCAGACGGGGAGCACCCCTCCGATTCAGCCAGTCCCCCACACAGTCACCCCCCAGGGCCGAGGCCCTGCTGACCCAGCCCGGAGCCCCGTCTCGCGGGGAGGCGGGCACCCCTCACCTGAGCGGCCAGGCTGCTTGGCCATGGGCAGGGACACCTCGGTGAGCGGCAGGACGTACACGTCGGGCCCGTTCTGGGCAGCGGCGGCTGGGGAGCCCTGGGCCGCGAAGTCCGCCGCATACTCGTCCCCCTCGGCATTCTCAAACTCCTGCGGGCCAGGGCGGCACCACCGTGAGCCGGGGCCGCTCCCTGCCTTCCAACGGAGCGCAGAGCCCGGCCACGACACCACTCCCCGCTCGCGGCCTCTAGTCCCTTCGGCCACGCACACAGACTGGCCGCGGTGTCCAGGCCGCCCACAGCCCAAGGCCCTTGATTGGGCGGCACCTCCCACGGGGAGCTGCTGAGCTATTAAGACCCTCAGTCCCTGCACTGTCTGTGCTGCGGGGATCTGTGGGGATTCCCCCAGCCCCCCCAGCTCCCCTCCACCAGCTCCCACAGCACTTCAAGCAAAATCTGCTCAAGTCCCACTGAGACCAAAATCAAGGTGGGGGCAGTGACAGCCCACAGCCAGGCCTCTGCCCCTCCCAGACCTCTCTGCCCCACCCCACACCCTCAGTGCCCAGTGGGGAAACTGAGGCACTGAGAGGCTGGGACCCAGCCACCCACACCAGCCCAAGCCCTTCCCTATCGTCCGCCCTCTGAGGGTCTCCGAATCCTCTCTGCAAGTGGGATTTGGGGCTCTGGCCGGATTCCCGGGTCCAGTTGGGGTCTGCACGCATCTGAGCTGCGCGCGGGACAGCGCTGTTGGTGCTTTGGGCAACCCCCTCCCCCGATCCACACTCTGGCTCTGCGCCCCCACCCCCACCCCGGGGAGGCCAGCCTGGCCGGGCCCCCCCCACGCACACACACAGATACACTGAGATGCCCTCTGCCCCCTCTTCTCTCCTCTCCAATTCCCCCACCCCCCAGCCGGGCCCCCCCCCCGCCCCCCGACGGCGGTGCCCTGGCTCTGGGCTTCGAGGGGAAAGAACTGCCCGGAGGCGCCGCTGTATCTCGAAACGAGATCCTACGTTGTAGGTGTTAAGGATTAGGAGGAAAAAAAGACAACTGAATCTGTAGTGTAACTCACGACCGCGTTAGCTTCACTCGTAACACCACCAACCTGT